TACACTATCCATCATATACAAGGTGTCATATAAACAGAATAATAACATTTCAAAAGTAAGCTTTATGTAAATGTAAATGTAAATGTAAAATGTAAGTATATCTCGAAAACTAAACGAAACCGTCGATTAATTTATAAGGAAAAGTTGATCAATACCCTCACCTCTATAATATATATCAAGGTCACGATCATCGGAATTATCCCCTAATGTAAAGAAATACCAAATATATAAAGAAAATTTGCAGTATTATCATATCATATCATCATATTTAAATGTTTTGCATAATAATTTTAATAATCACAACTTTTTGGTCCAACAAAATTATTTTTCAAATCTGTATCTGATCAAATTTTTAGATTTTACAGCAAAATTATTTTTTCCGTGTACAATATTATTTTTTATTCATCTATTTTTAAATTACAATCATCTATCCAAGAAGTATAACGTTATATTTTAATAAACACTTTACATATTATTCGAGGAGTGAAAGATCAAATCTATTTGCACAGCTGGAATATAATACAACCGATGTCATCCGTTTGGGGAGCTTACCGTGAGTTGATGATCCTGAGGATCGCACGTCTGCCACTTCCTGGCGAACGTCACGGTGGTGTGAGTCTCATTTTGCGAACCGCCGAGCACTCGGACATCCTGGGATACGTCAATAACCGGTGCGGCATTCATCTCCTTGATACCGTGCGAGTCCTGGAACATGAAGGGAGAGAGAGATGTTAGAATTGTTCGAAGGGGGTTCAACGTACCCGTCGAAACGAAGGCCTCGCAGGCTCCAAAACTCGCTTCTGCGTTGGACGCCCTCGGCATTGGGCGGGAGATCGAGAGTTTTATCGGGTCAAAACAGGTGAGCACCAGGTGTTCGCATACGCGGCGAACTGGGACTTCGAGCCCTTCTGCCCGACAACGCAATTCGTCTCTCCATCCTTGCCTACTTTCTCTTTTTCTTCGTTTAAGTTACGTTAGGTAAAGTACGTTAGGTAAACTTTCATCATTCTTTGTGTGGTGCGGCTTTCATTCACGATTTAATGTCCGCCAGTGTAACGTATAGTTATATCCTCATAATAACGATTAATAATATCAACGCTTGTATGAAATTATTCACGATTATTACGCGGAATGTAGTTATAAATTTTTTAATTAATTCAGAATCAATATTCTCTAATAAAAATGAATTGAGATATTAGTATAGTGAAAAGAATAGTTTTGCTCGATATAGATCTGAAAAATAACTTTGTCGAGTCACCAAAATAATTCTGTAAGACTTTCAAATTAATTGCTAGAATATAAATAAAGTTAATAGTATTATTATTATTATCGGTTAAACATCTTGCATAATTTTGATGATCCAGCAAAATTATTTTTTAAATCTATATCTGACAAAATGTTTAGAGCCTACAGCAAAATTACTCTTTCCGTGTGAATTAATTTACAAACCAATAAAAAATTAATTTCGAAGAATATAAATGAAAATCTTCTTTGTATCAAATCGAGCTCAATAGAAACATGATGAGAGACGTTCAGCAGCCGCTAAATTTAACGTTAAAAGATTCAAAAATTCACGCTCAAATTTTACTAATAACATAATCGGCTCAGAGATCTCTACACTGCGAAATTATAGCATGAAGTTTGAAACATCTTGCGTCTGGCTGTAACTTTATAAGGAACGAGCGTGTGCAAAATCGCAGACCGATATTTTAGTGTCCGACAATAAGGCACTTGCATTTTGGAGGAGAAAAGAGAAGATGAGAACGATTTCCCAGCTGCTGTGTGGTAGCACACGCTTATATAGGGGCGGCTGGCCGCAGGCGTTTGGGTCCGTTGGGTCCCGGTTACGGTGGAGCGCCCCGCTGACGTTCGTACGTTCGGGGCATGCGGTGAGGAGGTTTCCGAAGGGAAGTCCCCTTCCTGCACGTAATGAATCCGAATAATTGCCCGAACGTCGTCATGCCCGGTGGAGTACTACGCGCCTCGTAACGAGCACGTGCAGAAAGGAAACGGTA